CGCCTCTGCCTGAGGGGCGCCCTTGTCAGGAGGGGAGGGGCTTCACCTGGGGGCGCCCTTGTGAGGAGGGTGGTGTTTAAGGGAGGGGGGACCCCCCTTCTCATTGGGGGGGTCTTGAGCTGGGGACAGCTTTTGGTGGGAGGGGTCTCAGTTGGGGGTCACCCTTGTTATTGGGGGGATCTGCTTGGGGGGCATAAGAAAGGGGGTGTCTAGATGACGGGTGCCCTTATGAGCCTTCAATGGGAGGGCCACCCTTGTTATTGGGGGGGCATAAGAGGGGGGGTCTCTGAGTGAGGTGCCCTCATTATGAAGGGGATTCCCTTTCATTGGGGGGCATCCTTGTTATTAGGGGTGTCTTTGAATTGGGGTACCCCTGTGATGAGGGGGGGCGGTAAACCCAAAGCAAGGGTTATGTGGCACTAGGCCCCCCTCCCCTGCTGTTGATGACTTTTCAGGGAAGAATGGGGACAATGGCTCTGCACCCTAATTTGAGGGTTATTTTTTTTAAGGGGGGAAGCAAAGCTTTCCCCCAGCAAGGGATCCTAGAGAGAGAAAAAAGGCTGGAGGTTGTTCTCACACCCCCTTTCTCCAAGAGGGCTTAAAACCTCCCCCCCCTCCACATACTTATAACAGGGTCTCCTTCATCTTCATTTTGGTTAGGGGGTTTTGAATGGAGTGGGTGAAATCAGGAGAGTTATAACATTTTACCCACCCGCCCCATGCCTCAAAATGGGTGGATGTGAAGCCTCACCTTAATTGGGAATGACATGGGGTGGCGTGGGGTTACAAATATTTCTGTTGCATTTGGGTTGATTAATAATTTTATTATTGGGGATGCTCAGGCAGCTCTCACTCCTTTCCCCCCTGCAAAAAAAAGGTTATATAGGTGAGCAAAAGCTCTGCTCCCTCGCTGAGAGGCTGTCAATGGGGAGAAAAATGCAGACCATCCCAGCCTCAGAAGTATGCTGTTACATCCTGGTGGCTTCAGGTGAAGAAGTATATCCTCTCCCAAGTACTTTGTTTGGCAGTGAAAGTGTTAATCAAATATGATGTTGAGGAATAAGGTTCAGTTCCTTCCCCATTCGTAACCTGTTATTATGATCCAGAATCTCAGTCTTCCACTAAAATGCTCCTAAAATTAGAGAATATTTCATGGTGAAAGGTTATGAAGGTGAAGACGTGGGATGAGCTAAAAAAGCCTCTCCAGGTATGGAGTAGAAAGTACAGTAGATAGGCTGATGATGAATGATGGGGAACTGGTTGTGCATCTGATCCCCAGCCCCTCCCAAAGTACAGGAGGGTGAGCTTTGAAAGAGTATTATTGTGTTTCTCCAACACTGTGGGCAGGGGGGGGAGTGTTTAGCAAAAGATGGAGCCTTTGGTAAAGAAGAAGAAAACACCCCACATCTCTGGGAACATTGGCACTTTCAAAATGAAGCTGTGAATGTAGTGGAAATGTGTGGACTTACATGTAGAGACTGGGGAAGGCGTCACTGAACAACATCCTGGTCCATCCGTGAGCGCCTAGAATTGAAGGATGGCATTCATCAATGTTTTCTGGCAGTGGGGACTGAGGAGACGCTTCCCCCTTTTAAAAATGAGAGAGGGAAGGGATGAACGTCTGTGGGTATTGGTGGGCAAAGATCCTCAAGTTTCTTTAAACGGCTGCAAAAACATAAAGTTTGAGAAGAGACGAATAATAAACGATGGGATCCTGGAAAGAAAAAAGTGGATTCTTTAAAAAATGAGGTTATGGTGGGGAAGGAGGGTAATAAAGTGTGAGGGTGGTTGCTTGTAAAGAATTGTGTTGCCTACAAAATCTGAGAAGGCAGAAAAGTAGAGAGGAAAGGGCATGGAAGGCGACTGATCCTTGCAAAGCGTGCTAGGGACCCTGAGGAAGAAGGGATGAGACCAAAAATAGTTTCTCACAGATAAAATATTGGGGGCTTCTTCCTTAGAAGAGGCAGGAGTGGAAATGTCCTGCGCTTTGGGATATTTCTTGAGCCTTAAAATAAGAAACTGCTGGTATGTGAGTGGGCGTGTGGCGGTGGTGGAAACGGTGCATTGATAGTGAATGAAAATATCACGAGAGGAAACCAGGATCCTTTTTGTGTGTGAAATGATTGGTTCCCTCTATAAGGAAGATGGGGATGGGATTTAAATTCGGAGGGGTAGAGGCGCGTAGAGGAAATGCTTGGAGGCACTGTATGATTGAAATTGGAAAACTGGACTTGGGGAAGATAAGACACACAAACACAAGCTCCCCATAGGCAGTTTTAAAAAGGTGCATGGATGGGTTGCATTCTCAGACAGAATTTGAGGGGCGAGGCCTTGTGTTTTCTTTACACCTCATATCTGAATTGCCTTCCTCCACTCTCCCAATGTAGACTCGCACGTCTTGCAGCAGGATTTTGTTTTGTTTCTGCATCGAAATGGGTTTCTGAACATTTTTGCTCTTTGCTTTTTATCAACGGCATCCCCTCTCCCACCCTCTGCTAGAATGGCAGGTCATGTCCTTGTAAACCTAGGTGTGTGTGATGTGCCAGAAGAGACCTTTTTTTAGAAAGAAGAATTTAGGTAGTCTCTTGTTTCTAAAAGGCTCTCCCAGATCTGAAACAGATCTGCCTCCACCACACCAAAAATAACCTCGAAATGGCAATAAGCCCCCCACCCCCAGTTTCTGGACACAGGTGTGTCTTTTTTCCCTTTTTTTTGGTCTGGAGCTAATGGTGGGATCCTTATAACTTATAGGCTACACTTTTTGTTTCTGATATAAATGGCAACAATCTAAAGCAAGTTAGAACCTGGGGTATCTGTCCTACTTGTCTTAGAATGAGGGGGCCTTTGACTCAATACATGGGGACAATAGGAATGTATCTGCAGTGCAGAAAAGCGTAGATCGGAGGAGGAGGTTTTGATTTCCTTTCCCTAGGGGCTGAAGCTGTAGGCAGGCCGGTGGGAGGACCTGCCTCAGTACAAATTACAGTGATTCCCTGCAGTTAGGTTGAGTGTAAATACAAGTCATGTGGGAAAACTGGGGGCCAGCATTGCAAGGAACATAGAAGAAAACTGTGTGTTGGAAGGGCAGTTTTGGTGGAGGGGGCTGTCATGGTATGAAAAGAGAGGGTTCAGACGTAACTTTTCCTCTGTGTCTCTTGCCTTCTCTTCCTTTCTGCAGGCTGATCAGCTGACAGAGGAGCAAATTGCAGGTGAGCGTTCTTTTGTCTCCCAGCCACAGAAACAGTGGCAAGGCCAGTCAGAGTCTGCAGAGCTGGTGGTATCGGCGAGGCAATACAAGAGTCCAGCGAGCCAGCGATTAAAGTTGGATTTGGACCTCTTTCCAGCTTTCCTTGGACTCTGAACTCGTCCCACTGGGGGAAAAAAAGAGGAGATGTTGCTCTCTCACAATCCCTCAGCCTTTGCTCCTTAATTAATTGCGTGCTGTCACGTCAGTTCTGAGGCTTCAAGGTTTTCTAGGTAGAAAGCACTGAAGTCACTTGCCATTCTCTTCTTACGGCGACAGCTTGCCTGCAGCCATCCCGGTCATCTCTTCTAACACTGAGCTTTCCAGACAACTTGCCTCTGTAACAGGCAAACTAGTAGGATCTCTTTACCTCACAGAGCTGCTCTAGGGATGACCAAAGATTTGAAATACGCCTCGGCTTTATCTGTGCGACAGATTAAAACCATCTTAAAACTTGGTATTTACCTGCCAGCTTATGTGAGGGTACCACAGTTCCCTTCTGCTCTTACCAAACTTCCATGAAACTATATTTCACCGCATCCTTTCAGTAAGGAAGAAGGAAGACTTGAAAGTTAAGCAAGTGTGCCAACATAGCTTCCACAAATGCTAAGACTGTAATCTCTGTTGGAAGGACCAATGTGCCCAGTTGTTTCTCCCTTTTCCTCCCAGTTGAACTGGTTTGCACTGGAAGTCAAGGAATGCATGTGTTCTTCACCCACTAGCCAAGGTAGTAACTGGCCAAGGGCATAGGAGTTCCCTGTGTTCTTCTTTGGGGGGGATTCTGTGGGCTGTGTGTTTGTGGGCGAAGGTGGCAGCGGGCCTGCTTGGTGCTGAGTGTGCTCTCCTTTCTTCCTCTCAGAGTTCAAAGAGGCCTTCTCCCTCTTTGACAAGGACGGCGATGGCACCATCACCACCAAGGAGCTTGGCACCGTGATGCGCTCTCTGGGCCAGAACCCCACCGAGGCAGAATTGCAAGATATGATCAACGAGGTGGATGCTGATGGTGAGCAGGACGTGGGCAGAGCATCAGCTGGGAGGCTGTCTGAGGGCAGGTCAAGGAGAGGGTGGTGATGGAATGGACCGGGCACTCACAAGCCTGCATGAAGTTAGAGTAATTTAATTCTTCGGTGACAACATTTGTGCATTAACAAATGTTGAAAGCAACGGTGATGCTTCCCATGGTGTGCAGTAGAAGCCTGGCAGCCTTATGGGGATCAGGACTCGCCAGCGTTGTCTACAAGCTCAATCCAGCCAGAAGATAGTTTAGCTTCATTGCTGATTTTAATCACCCACCACCCGAACGGGGGGCTGTCCTCACGATTTTGTTGTTGTTATCAGGATGAATGTCCATAGATTCATTGCTGATTTTAATCACCCACCACCCAAACGGGGGGCTGTCCTCATGATTTTGTTGTTGTTATCAGGATAAATGTCCATAGACTTTAGAGCAGTAGTCCCCAACCTTTTCCAAGCTGTGGATGAGTTGGGGGGGGTCCCTGTGTGTGTGGGTGCTCGTGGGGGCAGAGTGTGCTCGCAGGTGAGGGGTGCGCTAGTGCACATGTGCAGCTGGGTGTGGCGCACTCACAGGTGAGTGGGGGGCGGGGTACGCGTGCATGTGGGTATCCATGAGGGGGGTGTGAGATCTGTCTCTGCGGCCCAGCCCTGTGAATGGGTGTGGCGCACTCACAGGTGAGTGGGGTGCGGGTGCATGTGGGTATCCGTGAGGGGGCGTGAGATCTGTCTCTGCGGCCCAGTCCTGTGAAGGCCACAGATGGGGTTGGGGACCCCTACTTTAGAGAACAGTCGACTGAAGGCAACAAATTAATTTATGGGAGGGGGGTGTTTTCCTTAATCTCTTTAGGCAATCAGGCAATGTTGTGGCTGGACGAGAAAAACACTAGAACTGGCCAGCCAACGCTGCCAACATTTTTGTGTGGCCCTTTCCCTGCTTTTCATTTCCCCAGTTGCTTGAGGGGTTGGAAAAGGCAGTGCTTTCTGCCTGTCCTTTTGGCAACAGGAATACAATTCCCGTTGTCACCTGAGCCTTCAGAGTCATTTACCCAGCTGGAGGGAAAGGGGCAAGACTTCCCGATCGCTGGGCCACCGATCACAGCCGTCGGTTTTCGGTACAGTGCTAAACCGTTGACCTCTCCCCAGGAAATGGCACCATCGATTTCCCAGAATTCCTCACTATGATGGCCCGGAAGATGAAGGACACGGACAGTGAGGAAGAGATCCGCGAGGCCTTCCGTGTCTTTGACAAGGTAGGGCTGGGCAGCTTTGGGGAGAAATCTGGGTTCCAGGCAGGGATTCTGAGCAGCCTGACTGTGGGAAATCCCAGATCAAAGCAAAACAAAGTTCTTGTTTAGGTTTATTGCCCTAACTGCAGGACTGATGTGACTTAATATAAACCTTGCTGAATAGGCTTCATTCTCCTTGGCTGGGGAACAAAGCTTTTGCAAGGGTTTCCAGTATTTCTGTCCCATGAGCTTTTCCTCCCCAAGCAAAAAAAGGCAATGTTTTTTAAAAAATGGACTGTTTCGCTGAAGACTAATTGAATTAGATTTTAGGAGCCTTGGTGGCCTTCACCCAAAGCATACTTGACATGAAATCCACTAGTGATGGGTTGTTTTTTCCCTCTCAGCGATCTGTGATTGCTGCCACCCCCAGCAGTTGTTTGGCTGTGTTGCAAGGCATATACTTGCGTTTGCTTGGGATGACCATAAAACCCTGCGTGAACAGGGCACGACTCGGTGAATGCTGCCCTTGAGTTCTTTATGAACACCGAGCGTTTCAGATCCCCAAACATCCCTTCCAGGTCCTTATAGACTGGTTTAATGTCGTACTCCTGGCTGCTGTTATTTTAGCCCAGGTTCAGAAGCAGCCCTGATGCAGTAGCTCCATCTTTTGTGTTATTTTTACACAACATTTGGCTGTATAAATCCAACAAGCTGGCTGTGGCATGAGTTATATTCTGTGGGTATGGCAAATTCCTCCTGCATTGTGTCTTGAGGAAGGTTTTTTGAATGTCAGTTTTGCTTTGATTTTTATCTCAAACCAGTTAAATATCCAGAAATAATCAGAGTAACTTGAAGGGAGTGTTACCTCACGCCTTATAGTAGAAGTGAACTTGTAGGGGAAGGGGGAACACAACTTGTTTAAGTTGTGGCAATGTTGTATTGATACCTTAAAAGTTATAATTTGTTATGGACTCTGGCTAGTATGACCAAGACAGATGATATGCATCAGTTACACTCGTAAAAAAAATCCATTAGTGCTAATAGAAGTTTCTGAAAAGCCCATTTGCCCTGTTTCAGGCTGGGGGATCATGGCTAAGGGGATGATTAGCAATCTCTTCTCGTGCACTTCAATCTTCTCAAGATTACCCCCATGTGGAGATTACGCTTTGAAAAACCCTCTTTAGCTCCAGCGGACCCCTTCCCCCATAAGTTTGTGTATTTAGGCAGGGAGGGTGGAGGGCATGGGGTAGCTCTGCTTTCCTGTGCACCCTCCCTCCGCAAAGCATCACAAGGTAATAAAGCTTACTCTTGATGTACAGCAGTGTGCCCCAGATGTCCTTGGACTGCAACTCCCAGAAATCCTAGCTTGCACGGTTTGAGGCAAAGGCTTCTGGGAGTTTCAGTCCAAGAACATCTGGGGGCCCGAGGTACGGATGTAGCGTTTAGAGACGGCTTTCGCACCAAGCCTCTGCCTTCTTGAGATCCCCCCCCTCCTTGATGCTCCCCCTGCAACCCATTCCTCCGCGTTTCTCACCTCCAGGACGGCAACGGCTATATTAGCGCTGCAGAGCTCCGCCATGTCATGACCAACCTGGGCGAGAAGCTGACAGACGAGGAAGTAGACGAAATGATCAGAGAAGCTGACATAGACGGAGACGGACAGGTCAATTACGAAGGTGAGAGGCCTTAGGGGACGAAAACCCTTCCCTGCCTGTCGGGTTTTAGCAGCGCTGCGGCAAGCCTGCGTTCGCTGCAAATACCGGTTTCAGTTAGTTCTGTGCAGGCATCCGACAAAAAAGTTTAAAAATGCCAACTTAAGTTAGAAGTTGGGGGTTAGAGCCTTCTGTTGCTGTTAGTATAATATAGTGGAGGTTTGGGGGGATGTTTCCCTGCATTGTGCATTACAGGGAAGCGCCCCCCCCAATTGTGTACTTTTTGTTCTCAGGATCATCTTTTGATGATCTGATCCCTTGCTGGGTGATGGGTTTTGAATGGCACTTGCCTCAGAGCTTCCTGATTGTCTTTCTGCTTTTTCCTGCAGAGTTTGTACAGATGATGACTGCCAAGTAAGACAAGTGGCTTCCGTCTCTCTCTCTCTCCTTCTCCCCCCCCCGCCCCCCTGTACAGAATGGAAGGACGGTCCGCTTCCCCTAAAGATCTTAATCCAGCCCTTCTTGTCGGTGTGGCACATGTTCCATTGATGCTTTAGCGGTGTGTGGCCATTCTCTGCTCTTTCCTCCCCTCTCCCCCCCTCCTCCCCCTGGTTTACCTGCTAGTACCCCATGACTGGAAGGTGGCTCAAAAAGCTGGCGAGGAAAGGGGGTGAAGGTTCTAGCGCTAGGTGGCCAGGCGTGGGTGGGTGGGAAAGGCAGGAGGGGTGGGGGGGCATCTTCCCTTTTTGAATTGCCTCCAGCCAGCTGTCGCTCCAAAGACCGCACCCAGCCCACGCGTAACGTCTGCATCCATGGACTGTTGTGTGCGGCGGACTGCCTCTTTTCTGCCATCTGCAGTGGTCTTCCTGGGAGTATCTGCATATCTTGGGTGTATTGTAACTGTTAACCCCCCCAATAATTGCCATACCCTCCCCTTCCCCTTCCCCTTTTCTCTTCCTTTCCAATGGCTTCAGGGAATGCTTCTGTTCCATTCCAGTTGGTGTAAGGTTTCTTTTCATTCTTTTTCTTTTGAATAAAGTCTATGTGTTTCAAACGGATGGGGCCGGCATCCTTTTGCAGTGCTCCCTCCCCCTTTTCAGGATGGAAGGCGTAAGGGTGTCTGTTTTAATTCCCACCGGACTAGGAACTGATCCTCGGGGCTGTATCCCAGCCAATTTTCAGCCCTATTTCTCTCAGCTCAAGAGTGGTTTCCTTGCAGCTGCTGTTTCGTGTGAGCCCGTGAGTCAGCAACAGGGCGGTTACTGCCGCTTCTGGGTGGCTTAGCACTGAGCTGAAAGCCAATACAGAATCATAAAATGATGGACTCGGAAGGGGGCCTCTAAGGCCATCAAGTCCAGCCCCTGAGATCCGGCAGGCATCCAAATCAAAGCACATCTGACAGAGGGTGGTCCAATTTTCTTTTGAATGCCTCCAGCATTTGGGTGCTCACCTCTGTAAAGCACAGTTGGGCTCGGGTGGGGATTGCAAGCCTGATACAGAGGAAAAGATTCCTGATCTCCATGTTAGCTGTAAGGCAGGGGAGAGAAACTCCTGTAAATTACTGTCTTGGTGTGCAAATAATGGGAGCACAAGACAGAACTGAAGAGCCGTTCCGCTGGCTCACGTTGCATTTTGGGCACTTTATATTGACACCTGCGCCACGTCCTCGGCTGCTCTGGAGCCGAACGCATCATGCCAAGTGAAAGTAATTTGCTTGGTGCTAATGCCAAGGGAAGGACAAACACACTGGCTTCAGAGGTGATTTTTATTTTCAAATAAAAAATGCACATGGTTTGGTTGCATGGACAAGATGCCCAATGGCCCATTCTTGGCTGCTTGTGCTGCTTAGAGAAAGACTTAAAAGTACACATCATCCAATCTTCCACCATCTCTCTTCAGCAGAGCATGGGGAGATATGGCAGTTAAGACACACACGCGCACACACACAAATATGTATTTATATATATACACGCACGCGCACACGTATATTCTGTTGCCCCAAGGAGGGGGAGATTCCTCCCTCCCCAAATAAAACAGCTGCCAGTCACAAAAAATGTAGAGGAGGGGCACAATGGGGCAAGCCTGGTCAGGTAGCGTCTCTGCTACAAACTTAAAACTGGATTGGAAACCAGATTTAACTGTCCTGCCATCCCACAAAAGGGGACATGCTGTTTTTGTCATGGTGCGGAGAACTCCTGGGTAGAAAATCCCTCCATTTTGTAGAGTTCCTTTGTTAAGAGTCCGCTCAGAACAGGTCTGATGCCAGTTTAAAATGGGTAGCATGGCTGGGGAGGAAGGAAAGCATCGGCACCGCTTCCTGCTCCGACAGCAATATTGCAGCCGAAATGAATGCATATTTTCTCTCCCTCCCTCCCCCCGTTTCCTAAAATCCGTAGGAAATATTTTGGGGCAGCATTGGGATTAAATCTTTGGAAAAAAAATGAATTGCACCTTGTGTCCAGGAAGGAAAAAGTTTGGGTTATTGTTATATTTTTCCTTTAATGGAGGAGAAGTTAGTGGTTTTATACTCCTGACTCCCAACAGAGGTGGCAGGAGAGGTGGGAAATTGGAGGGGTGGTGGTGGTGGAAGAGAAAAATTTAGATTAAATATTCTTAGCATAGTTTGATACGAACGTCAAGATTAGATCAGTTCCAACTGGTAGAAGAGTTTTCTTCACCTATCCAGGGCGAGTAAAGCTGATCACTGAGAGGTGTCCGAACTGATTAACAGAAATCGCCACACTACAAATTTAATCTAGTCTAAGTGGATACTGTCCAGCAGTCTGAAATAAATCCCCCAAATTTCCACACATCTTGAGGGGTTTCCTATGTTTTCAGGTAGTTTATAGCTCTAATTGCACACCCCTTTAAAGTGTCTAAACAAGCTTCCCTTTGCTTCCATCCTTTCAGGCTTCTTTCCAGAACCTGTACATATTTATCATAACATTTTTTAAATTCCAGATTAAATAATCCAGAATGAACATGTGCACATATTCCCATTTCCCCCCACCCTAATATTTATTCACACTTCTATGTTAACAAATATTTCTTTCCAGCTTACTGGGACACACCAATAAATGCCAAGTAATCGGAATCCTTGGACAGCCCTATAAAAATGTTGCATGACCTGCGGATTTTTCACAAACTTTAAACAGAACCTTTCTGCTGCGTAAGCAAAAGCGGGATGTGAAAGTTACTAAAATTGATGTTGCAGTATGAGAGTCACATTCAGCTACGTAGAAATGGCTTGGGTCTCAGCTAACAGTAATAAATTTGATCTCTTCAACTGGGATGTCTCTAAAATGGTAAAAAAAATACCCCAGTGACTAAAATCCAAATGACTGTTCATTTTATCTATCCTACCAAGTTTAGTGCAATCCAGATTCAACGAGTTTTTAAATGCTGCTTCGTAATATGGGGGAAATGCCAGTTTTTAAAGTAAAATCTAGTTTCAGTTGGGATTAAAAGCTGCAAAAAGGGGTCAAGTTCACAGATTCCTGTTTTCACTGAAATCCTTAAGTCCTTCCCATCATAGTGGCAAGTAAGGTTAAAATTCTCCCTTGCATTCTGAATTCAAATGCGCGATTCAACAAATGTATACCTCACACTCGCGTTCAGTATTTTTTTTTAAAAAAACAGTAATTTCTTCTCTCTCGAAAATATACTCTCTCCCTCCCCTACAATACTCCCACCCCCTAAACCCACATTTTTGCAAAGTCTCTGAGCTTATACAGATTGCTCCAGCAGAGCCCGTTCTACTGGGACATAAGGCAGAAACGGAAGACCGTTCCCCAAACTCTGAAAACATCTACCGGAGCTTTTCCTGCCCTGACTCTGTGCTTAAGGATTTTGGGGCCTTTCTTTCTGGACCTGGGGAACAGAGTAGGCCCTCTGCCCTGGTTTCCTCTGAAAACCCATCTCTCAGGCCTGCCAATTCTCCGAATGAGCTTCAGGATTTTGCCTAATTTTTATGTTGTCTGGGCTTCCGGCAGCCGTTTGACACGCAGAAATGACACAAGCCAGCTTCCCTTTCAGGGGAATGCCAGGGCTGCTCAATTTCTGTGCCAAGCTAAAAAAAAAGGGGGGGGGGAACCAGGGGTGCTAGAAGGAGGGGGCGTGATACTCCATAGGAGAAACATTTCACATAGCCCTCCCCTGTAAGTAGCTTTGCCCCCCCCAAACGAACAACCCCCCCTCCAGCCAACTCCTTATAAAAACATCAAAATGAATGGAAAACACCCACCCCCAGTATTTGGAGGGTTAACTGCAACCCCTGACCTTTGCCCCCTTCCACGCCAGACCCAGGGCAGGGGTGGGAAAGGGACCAGCCCTCTTGCATGTTGGGAGTGTAAGGGGGAGGACAAAGGCAGGGCTCCACCAGCCCCCCCCCATCTATTTAAAAAAAAGCGCAAAGAAAGTCACAAGACCCTCCCCACAAACCTGGACTCCTCACCCTGGTGCCTAACCCTGAACAACCCTCAGAAATTGACATTGATTTGGTATTTTTAAAAGGGGGGGCAGCTTCCCTGGGTTCTGCCCGGCAGTGTCTCCCTCTTTTCCTGACAGCAGATCTGGGGCTGTCGTGCAAAATCTTTGGCGAACACCATACGGCCCCCCCAGCTCACAGTCCAAATGTTCACACAAACCTTTGCTGCTTTCTCGCAACAAAAGGGGGCCTGTCGTGAATGGGGCGAAATTGCATCGTACGGGGCTGGCAATGGGAAAGGCGGTGGGCGGGTGGTACAGAGGAGGCTTCCGGCCCCGACAGCAACATAGACAATAAATACCCACTTTCCCTCCTGCCCTGGAGCGCGCACCCCTCTCTCCTGGGGTCGCTACGACGGGGGTTCTCGGCGAACTGTGGGAACCTTAGCCTTGGGGGGACGGGAAGAGGTGGTGGACGAGGAGCCGGAGGACGAAGAGGAGGAGGTGCTGCTGCTGCGTCGGGCTTCGGCACCGGTACTGGACATTTTGAGCTTGCGCCGTTTGGCGAGGGGAGCATTCTCCACACTCTTCAGAAAGAAACCTTCCCGCTTGCCCTTGTTAAAGGCCTGGAGGGGGGGCGGCGGCAGAGGGAGAAGAAAAGAATTTAGCGTGTCAGGATTTGCCCGTTTCTTTGTTTCCAGGTTCTCAACAGGGCTTCCTGCGTGCACCACTGCTTAAACCCACCTAGGTCTCCCATCGCTCTACGAACCCCCCTCCGAAATCCACTTTTGCTCTGGGTTTTTGCATCTCGCCAGCCCTGACACCCCCCCCATCTAGCAAGTCATTCCGCATCACATCAAGACTCCTAGCTCTTGTGCTTCCATTGTTTCGGCAATGTGTTTCCTGAGCACATTGGTGCTTTGCAACAGCGCGTGAGTAATTTTTTGGCAAAGCAAAAACCAGTTGCAGCCACAAAATTCCAGGCGCTATCGCTGCCGGCCCTCTGTTGCTTTTCTGTTCCACTGCTCTGGGACGCTCACAAGAAAAAAAGAAATTGGACAGAAACAGATTGTTGCTTCGTACACTAGAAACAGAAAAAAGAAAGGGAAAAAAAACCTCCAGCATTCTCTTGCACCACAAAGTAAAATTATCTTACGGAGTTGGGGGGGTGCCTACAAATTCCACCCCCGCCCCATGCAAAGAGGGCCCTCGCGACACATTTACAGGGATTGTGTGTCTCACCATAAAGGCAACGTTGACGCCCGTTCGCACGGCGGGCCCTGAGCTCTCCAGAATGTCCGGAGTCATGAGGGGGGTGGAAGAAAGGGCACTCCCATCCAGGAGCCACTCGCTGTAGCGCAAGCTTGAGATCTTCAGCCGTTTTGCAGGATCCACCGTCAGGAGACCTGACCGTACAAGAGGGGGGGAAAAGGTCAGATTAGGAATTGTTCAAAGACCGAAAATGCAAACACCTGCCGAGAAAACTTGGCGAGCTTTGGCCCCTAATTTTCACTCATGGCACAGAATCCTCCCAGCGCTACTTCATGTAAATACCACTCCTCCTGGGGGGAGGTGTATATCAAAAAAGAACATACCTTCTCCTTAATTTTCTTTTTCATACTCCCTCACTGCTAAGGGTTTGCAAATTTAATAGATGCAGGCACGGCACCCGAAGTCCAGAAGTTCAACGAAAGGCTGCCAAAAACCTCAGTGCAATTTGCTGCTTCATTTATTTATTTCCTCAACACTCCAGGTCAAAACAATACACTGTTGGACAGAATTGGGCTGCCTGTCCATTTAAATTTTTTTAAAATCATCCTAAAGATACAGCGTCCAATGCTTTCCAGTTACCCTAACTCCCCCTTTTTTTGTTCGCTACAAGGCACCAGAAAGGCTGGAGCAGCTAATTTAACAGCAGGCTTGGCGCAGAACAGCTTCTGGACCTTTCATCATATTTATCAACTAAGGATTTTATTGAAAATCAGGGTTTTTAAAATATATTTGTTTGAAAAATCTGCCCTTTGCACTGAAAGAGGTAGGCTGAATTATTCAAAATAATCTCAGCATTTTGTGATGTCTTCTAATCACTTGTTTCAAATACAAAAACGCCTGAGCAATACCTACTGATCCTCTTACAGTTCTAAACCCAGAAATACTAATCTCATTTTGGGATTTTCTGTGGGCCCAGAAGGCTCGTCTTGGCACAAACTCTTAAATTCTCCCCTGTTAACAAAGAATCTCAAGAACCCACTGGATCTTTTGCCTGCCTTCAGCCAGAAACCCATTTCCCTGTTCCCCTATCTATCGATCTGAAGATGCTTCCCGCCGCCACCCCCCCTCGTCACCTCTAACCAGCTCCTTGGCCTCTTCCGACACATTCTTCCACGGCTCACCCTCCAGGGAGAACCGACCTTCCTTGATCTTGTGCATGATCTCGGCTGCATGGCTGGCCGCACTTCCTTCCTGGCTGCTGTGGAAGGGGGCCTGTCCAGAGAGCATGGTGTACTGCAAGGTTTCGCGAGGGGGAGGGAGGGAGAAAAACACAAGGGGTAAGAACTGGGTGATGCTATTTGTGCGGCCCCTGCAGATTTTGGATGGGAAAGTGGCTTTTCTTGTAGCTGTGCTCCTTGAAGAAAGCAGGACCATCAGAAGAGGGTGGAGATAGGATGGTTCCCCATCAGCTAAATTATCTGGGCTCTTCCAAAAAAAACCACCTAGTGATATGGAAAAAGGGGCAACCTCTTCTCCGTTTGTTCTGCTTTCTAAGTAAATTTCTTAATCATCCCTGCCAGCTACCCTGCTTCTTTTGAGACAGAGAGGGGCTGGGATGATTATGCATAAAATGAATAAATAACAACTGCCAGAAATCAGGAGAAATCCCAATGTTTTAGAACGCAGTGAAGCAAAGCTCCTAGCCTTCATGCCTTGCGAAGGAAAGTCCAAGAAGCAGGTCAGTACGTAATGAGAAGCACGAAGGTGGTGCTGAATATAAGGAAACACGACATGATAACTGGAAAATTGTCTGAAAATGAACTGTGATGTTGTACACTGCCTTGGAATCTGCCAAGACAAGATGTAGTACAGTGGGATCCTGGTTGCCATAGAGAGACAGAGAGAGAGAGAGAGAGAGAGAGAGAGCACAGATACTGAAGAAACTGCAGAAGTATCCAGAGAGAGAGAGAGAGCACAGATACTGAAAAAACTGCAGAAGTATCCAACACTATACACTGCATGGTCTCTGGCTCTCTCTAATGGCCATTTCTGGTAAATCCACTCTGAAAGTGGATTTAATAGCCCCTGGTGGGGGCTATTAAATATTTTCAGGCAGTGTATAAAAGAATTGGCCGATACTGATCCCGTGGATAGTCCTGTCCTCTTGTATACAGAAGCTTTAATACGCACACACAAACACACACACACAAACACACAGGGGCAGCAATACCAAAGGAGACAGCAAAGGGCCAGAGAGGCCTCTGATTTGGGGTCTGCCCCACCTACCAGGATGACCCCAAGGCTCCAGAGGTCACAGGACTCATCGTAACCCCCATCCTGCAACAGCTCGGGAGCGGCGTACTGCAAGGTGAAGCAGGGCGTCTGCATGGGCTGCGAATTCTGCGGCCGGAGGCGAGCGAAGCCAAAGTCGATCACTTTTATGGGGGCCCCTTCCGATTCGTCCGCATACAGAATATTCTAAGAGAAAGGGCATGGTGAATGGTGTTGGAACGCCACTAGGTAGCCCCACAGCACCCTGGCTTTTCTTCCCTGTACCCCGTTGTTCCCTGGGTAAGGCAGAGTCCAGCCACGCCTGGGCCCTAAGCTCTTAAAAGGATCGTCTCGTGGGAACGGCCGGGGTTACTGGGTGCTCAGGCAAGCTTTCGGCTTCCCTTGTAGAAGCCGAGCTCCATTTTATCCAGATGTTGATGACGAGGGGGGGGGAATTTGCTTCTTCCCCACTTCAGTCACCAACGTTAACTCGACGTTCCCCACCCGGCGGAAGGAGAGCTGGTGACGGTGAAGCTGAAGAACAAAGCACTATAACTGCATCAGGAGAGATCCGGGTTCAAATGTCCACTCGGTTCTGAAGCTGACTTCTGCAAGTGGTACTTGTACGTCACAGGAGTGTTGGAAAAAAATTTTTTAAAGAGTAACTGCACATAAAACTACCCAAAACTGCTTGAAAGCTGTGCTATAAATCTGAGATGAGAACTTGGTCCTGGCTGATCACAAAAACATAGAATAAGGGAGCAGGACGGGGCCCATAAGGACATCGAGTCCAACCCCCTTGCTCAAGGCCGGAACACAAATCTAAGCAGATCAGATGGAGCGCTTTGCTACAGCTTAAGAAAACACATGTTTCTGAGTGAGATGAGCATCGCCAACCGCATCGGAGAGGGCTGGGGAAGTCACAGGAGTTTTAACACATCTGAAGGGCAGCACGTTGGAGGGAGCCCAAGAAGCTGCCATGTCTATATGTCAATACTGTTGACTCTGAGCAGCAGTAATGGCTTTTCAGGGTTTGGGGCTGGAAGCTCTACCCAGAGATGTCTGGTATTCCTAGATAGCTTCTATCCAAATACTGTATGAAACTTGCTTCATACCCAGATCAAATGAGATCAGCGTTTTCAACATGGCTATTAAAAAAAACTAGCAAACTCTTACACTCTGTACTTATTTGGATTAGTTTAGAACCTGCTCTTGATTTTCCCAATGGCTACAGTTTTAAATAACCTAAGCTAAAATTTATCTGGAGCATCCTTCTGCGGTGGTGTATGGTGGCAGAAAAGTTGCTAGAGATGGTGTTGGGCGAGGCATCAGTCTTTTTCTCCCTACTTCCCCGTCATCTTCATCAAGGTTGCAGAACCTCCGACAACCTAATAAAACCTGAACACAGTGGTGAGCGTCTCCCAGAGCATCCTTATCGCAAGACCAGCCCTCCCGCGTACCTCTGGCTTTAGGTCACGATGCACCACCCCAGCATCATGCATGGAGCTGACGGCAGACACCAGGCTGCGCATGATCTGGCTGGCTTCCGATTCGCTGAAGTGCTGCTTCTTCTTGATGCGGTCGAGAAGCTCTCCGCCTCGGAGCAGTTCCATCACGAGATACGTGTGGTACTGTGGAGGAAGGAAGAGCCGCAGAGTGAAGGCAGCGGCTTCAGGGCCCCCCCCCCCCATCCAGGAGACTCGCAGAAACGTAAGCCAATGCATCAAAGGCTCATCATTCCCAGAGGCCATGATGGAAAACCCGCAAGCAAGGAAGGGAGGAAAAAACTCCCCCTGCTTATGATCCCCAATAGCTGAGATTATTAAAGGTTACAGTATTTGTGATCCATTCTTCTCCTCCCTCCCAGTAAGTCAGGCATAAATAATTATCTGGCCATATTGGTATAATAAAAGATAAGCTGGCAGCCTTTGCCATATAACCGTAACTTTGAAAAAAAAAGATATAGTTATGCAGGTTGTGTTATTATGCAAAACAGTATTTTGTTCTACAGGTCAGTGGCTTGTACTGTTCTGATGGTTTTCTTTTTAAACAACCAGTCAGACAAACCAACCAAACAACCATTCCATGTTAAGACACATCTGTGTACGAAGAAAGTAAAAGAAAGAAAAAAAATCTTTTAAAAAATTGTATGTGATAGCCACTGACTACTGTGGGAGCCTTTGGAATTTTAACTACTAATTTATTTTTAAATTTAATTTTCCAAGATCTGGACGCTGGAGGTTACACATAGCTAATGGAGCAAGCAGTTAAGTCTAAACAAGTTTAGATCTAGAAACAGGGGTCCTGGGTCCCGGCTTGGAAAATTTCCATCCCAAATTTGAATTCGGATATGATCCTCATCAAATAATGAGCTTTATGGCTGCCCTAAACAAAGAATAGGACATTTTCTGTGCTATACCAGTGTGATTTTTTTAAACAAAAAATATGCATAAGATATAAACTGCCCTGGGAGCTATTATAATTAATATATCATTTTTAAAGCTTTTGTGAAGAAAAGATGGGAGAAAGGAATGTGGTATAGCAGGGCCTCTATATGGGGTGTGGAGGGGGGATGATTTGATAACAATAGTAATAATCATCATCTTAGAACTGCAGAGCTGGAAGGGACCCTATCAATCATCAAGTCCACCCCCTCCCGTTAAGGAGACACGGGAGGAATCGAACTCCCAACCTCTGGCTCTTTGAAAGCAAAAATAAATAATTTTTTTTTAGAAAGGTCACCTGGTCATGATGGACGTCATGTAGCTTGACAATGTTTGGGTGGGCTTCGCAGATCTGCAAGGCAGCCACTTCGCGCTGTGTGTTTGCTTCCATCCTGGATTTAAGGACAGAACGGAGTCATAAATGTGGCGGCTTGTCAGTTCAACGCCATGCGAAGGAGCTGCCAAACGACAGAAACTGTACCGTTCGTCCACCTAGACGAGGGCTTCCTTTCCTCCCAATCTTCCAAAACTGCAACCTACCTGCTGTGCCCTCTTGTCGGCTAGGTGGGCTAAGCCTTACAGGTGTGGATGTCTGTCCAGGAAATCTGGGGGGGGCACCTTCTTCCCAAGACCTAGGCCAGAGGTTCACCGGTCTCGGTGCGGAAGGTCAGGAAAAGTGTTTTAAAAGATGCCTGCAGGCAGGGGTGTCTGAATCACAACAGGGAGGTGCCTCATCCTGAACGTTCAGGGTAGTCCCCCCCCACGAGGTCACAAGCTGTCCCCGGCTGCAGCTTCTCTACCTCTTGACTAGGCTTTGCATATCAGGCGGCATTCCTTATTGGAATATTCCTTATTGGCCAGAAACTCTTACATTAAAAATTCCCAGCGGGTTGAACCTCCTTAGCCCAGAGCATCCCACCAGGGAGTTCTGGGTAGGTGCTTGAAGCACCTCTCGTGCCCCCGTGCCTCGTTCGAGTTCATCTAGTTCTAGGCTATCCCTCTACGCCATGAAAGTTAAAGGAAAGCCAATCTATGCTGAGGATACCACGAAGAATCCTGCCAGTTCACATCGCTCAGCAGGTCATAGGCGTGTGAGGTCAATATCCTCAACTGCAACGCTGCCACCAGCTAGACTGGTCTCACCTTTTGCTGATGATCTTGACGGCGAATTCTGCTCCAGTTTGGCGCTGCCGGCAGCGGCGGCACAAGGAAAAGCTGCCCTCGCCCAAGGGTGGCTCCTTCAAGTCCATCTCATACTTTTGGAAGAACGACGAATCCTTTGGCGGGAGGAGAGGGAGTCTCAGAGCAGAAGCCAGGCGGGCTTCCCTGCGGAGAGTTCCTCCCAAGCCCACCTATTTTGGGAGAACCCCTAACTTTGAAGGGTTGGGCCACGAGCAGCCCTCCAAGGTGCCGCTGGATTGAACCCCTAGCAGAGGATAAAGAGAGTTATAGTCCCAGAATCCCCAGGACTACAGCTCCCACGATCTGTCCCTCTTCAGATACTATTAAGTCTCTACGTCATGTCATCCCTGATAACTGAGAAAGAGTGGCCAACTTGCCCGGGGTGTTTCTGGAGACGTGCTTCAAAACAAGTACCTTTTCCTATCTGTGCTGTTGAGACAGCGAGAATCTGCTTCCATCTCTCACCAGCATCCTTCCCCGGATCAGAGAGGATCATCACCAAGGAGGAAGCCCAACAGTGGGGTGTGAGGTTGGCCTCAACGGATCTTTAGGAGTCCAGACCCAGCTCCAGGTTGATTGGATTTAGGATTTACCTTGCAGGTAAAAGCCTTGCCCACCCAAGCTGGCATCTTCATACCCTTTCTTAAAGTGCAGCCTATCGTAGAAGACCAGAGGAATCTCCCCTTGCACATGATAAAATATGGGAGCGGCTTGAAAATGATCAGCTGGATCCACCCAACTCAAAACACCCTGATGCTTCATTTTTCTGTCCAGATCCACTCCAGGAAAAGATGGGGGGGGGAAACCCCTCCATCGGCGACTCTCGATCTTTGTAAAGCGTGCTGACCCGGCAGTTCCCAAACTTGCGGGCCTTTCTCTCCTTCCCGCGTCACGTCCTTACCTTCATCATGGCGCTCCGGGCCACGGCGGCGCTTCCCGGGCGCTCCCCAGCCATGGCAGCCCCGAGCACGTCCGCCGTCACAGCGTTGCGGTTGAAGAGGATGGAAGGCGCAATGAAGGAATACCCCTTTTGAAGAAGAAGAATAGCATCCGGTTCAGCAAAGCTCTGCGGTACTCGAGAAACCATCATGCCACTGTTTGTTTCATGGGACCTGTAAGCTGAGCTGAGTAAACGGCAAACTCCGGTGGCAACACCTCTGATTCTTTTCCCCCCACCCCAATTGCGGGCTGCAGATTCACACTATTTAATGCTTTCCACAAAGCAACAATAACACATTGTGATATTCGCTTTGCGAGTTTAATTGCCTTCCTTTTAGCTAACATTTTTAATAGCATTGTTTCTGTTTATACAGAATGACCCTTGTATACATGGGGGATTGATTCCAAGCCCCCCGTGGATGCTGAAAACCACAGATAATAGCACATACTACACCTAGCATCGTTTCCCCCTTTCATCAGAATCAAAATAGCCTAACGGGATTAAAACCATCCTGTTGAATCAAAAGACTTACCCATTAATCAACTAATTTTGGTCCAGCAATCAAACCACTTTAAGCTTGCCGCCGTGCATGTAAGAAGACTAGCTATCAAGAAGTGTATTTTAACCTAGTTTCCCTTCCTGAATCGCTGGCTGTCTAGACATAACAGAATCTTTTTATGTGTTTGTTTAAAAAGTAAATAATTTGGAAGAGCACTAAAATATATGCTCAGTCCCATTTCCAACTCAGTAGTGGCCAAGAGCTCAATAAAGTTTCTATCCTGTGATTTTTAGGGCTTGCCATATTTACAGGTCAATGCAGCAGAAATCTGCATGGAGGGGATTTGACTGAGTTCAACAGGGCTTATACCCCAGCGGAAGAGTAGAAAAATACACCCGTCGAAGCAAACTCGTATAGAGGCTGGAATGTCAGTCAACGGATTAATTGCACAGACTTAGAAGTATTTTTATTGTCTAAAAAGATGCCTACATTTTTAAGGGAAAATAAATGCAGACTATATAAAACAACCCCCTTCCTTCCCTTTTAAAGAGGAATATCAGCTCCAGAAATTAAGGTTTTTGTAGGTGACTTACTTTAAAACCAATTTAATAATGATGATTTAATTTCTCTCCTGCCCACCTCCTTTTGCAAGTCACAGCTCAATTTTTTTTAAAAAAAGGATGTTTTACAAGCACAATAAATTAGTCTCAAAGCTGATCTTTGTGATGCAACAACTTTTTTAAAAAAATGCAGCTGGCAAGCGGCGCCTTCTGAAGACCTTTCTCATGGAAAGAGGAAATGTATACTGTATATTTATTACATTTATATTTCGACCATCTAGTGTCAAGAAGTATATTTTAATCTGGGGCCCCTTCCTGAAAGCAGCTTCTGATGCTAGACCGGATCAACATCCCATTATCTGGACGACAGTGGTTTTGCATCACATGCAAATGCAGATTTTTCTTTAATAAGAGCTGACAAATCCTTCTGTCTTGAATCACTTCCCAGCAGCGTAATTGGGCTTCTGGCTCCCAACAGGACTGCAAATTAGAGAATGGAAACAAGGAAGCACTAACAAGAGTTCTGAAACTTACAGCCAAGGGGCAGAACAGGCAGCTGGCAGGAACCTAGAAGGGTTTTTTAAAAAGCAAAGCACATAACACGGAGGAAAGTGCCTTCGTTCTAACCCCACGGTCCATGGATTAGGAAGAACTTCCTGAGACAGTCCGATCAACAGCAACAAACACCGCCCGGACGTGAAAACAAAGGGAGCGATTCTGCTTATATA